GAGGTTAACTATGACTCCCAAGATGCATTTCAGCAAGAAACATCCAATCAGATCTTAAAAGCGCTGTTAAGGTGACCTTGCAAGGCAGCTGGACTCTAATCCATCTTGCCAGGCTGTTTCTCAACTGCACCAACAACGCGTTTTGATTCAGGCCTTTGACTGGCTTCTTTTTCATGGCAACAGTGGCTGATGCTCATGGGTATTGTAGTATTCTGAGCTGTCCCCCATGCCAAAATGACAAACAAAACATGATTTCTCAGAAATTAAGTTAAAAAATAATTAAAACTGATGGCCATAACATAAACTAATTAGATTATTACATAATCCAGGAAAGTTCCATGTTTCTAAAATTGAAATGAGAATACAGTAAAGGAAAAAACACTTCTGGAAACCAGCAGCCCCTCCCACTTCTTTTTCCACTGTATTGTAATACATGCCATTACATTTCAAATATTTTAAACATTGCATCACTAACCTGCATCAGCCTCTCCAGCTGGTAGAACTTGCAGTGAAGATCCTCAAAGTTGTTTTTGTAGAGAGCTCTGAGGCCATACTCATACATGATTTTCACCAACACACAGAAGGCCTGCTCCTCAGGCATCTGAAAGCACATGGATACCCATAAACTACAGCTACAGGAACTAAAACTCTGAACATCTGGCTGTCTGTTGCCACAAAAGAAACCAGAACATTTTGTCTGGCTCTCCAAATGACATTTGGTGGTCACTCAGTCTTCAAGACAAGAAACAGATTCATTTTTTTTTTTTTTTTTATCTCTATCTGAATTTCAGTTACAGTAAGGCACTATGATACTACCAGAGCAGGACCAACCTTTATTTACAAAGTTATGGTAAACCCCCACCCATCCGCTCCTTGAAGACACATTTTATTTTCTGATTATTTGACTGGATCTAAACAAAGACTAAAGGACAGAAGAATATAGTGAAGGTGTGAATGACATGAAGGGACATACTTCAAGGTGTTTGCAAGAGCAAGTGTGTGCAAAAATATGTTTTTGTGGGAGTGCTTCACTGTTTGTGTGTTTCGATGTGTGTGTTGCTTGGATGAATGAAGATAAGAGGCATGAGAAAAAGCTTAAAATTGCTTGTGTGTGTGTTTATTTTCCCTCTCTCTCTCTCTCTCACACACACCCACACACACACACACTTGCAGACGGTGAGGTGATATTTAATCAGAGTGACAGTATGTGTTTGGGGCTGAATGGGCTCCTGCAGGTAAACCTGAACCCCTATTAATATTCCTGACATCTCCTCCATAACCTCTCCCTTCTTCCTCCTCCTCCTCTATAACCCGTCTGCCTCCTCCTCCTGTATAACCTCTCTTTCTTTTACTGCTGCGGTCCCCTTTATCTCTCCCCTTCTTCCTCTTCACTTTTACAGCCTCCTCCTCCATAACTTTCTCCTGTTTTCCTCCTTACTCCCGTCCCTTCTCCTCTGTAAACTCGACCACAGCTCTGCTCCATGACTCTCCAACCATCTCTGCTCACCCCACATCCTCATGACCTCTCTTCTGCTGCCCTTGTCATTTGGACCTCAACCAAACTTCCGCCACTCTCTTTCCTCCACTTGGGATTCCTGTCTCCATGTGTCTACTCCTCTGTCTCTCCTCCATCTGTCTTTTAACAGCTTTCCCAAATAAAATGTCAGGTGTGTTTTATGCAGAAAAGTTCCAATACATGTTAAACAGACAAGAAACTCTGCACAGAAGTAAGAAGAGAAAAATATACTTAAATATGCTTGAGGAGGGGATTATAGAGCACGGGTTCTTTAAGTGTTGTGTATCTTTTGGTGACCTTGAAAATAAATAATTGTCTTGTCCACTGCTTTCACACTCCTCATTTTCTGCTGTGACTCTGTCTCATCCTTTCAGCTTTACCTTCTTTCACCCTCTCTCTGTCCCTCTATTCATCCACATCATTTAGCTATAAACTGTTTTCATTCAAGCGGTCAGTAACTTTCTTGTCACCCTGAGTCTCCCTCTCTCTCAGCCTCCATTTAGTCTCTTATATTGTCTCAGTTCTGCTTTGTTACCCCTAGCACAAGCTAACAGGCTTAATTTCCGCAGGTAGTTTCTATAGGTGCAGCAGCACTATATCGACATATTGTTTTTGTTAGTGTTAACCTTTTTTAAATTTGTTTGACTGCGGTTCTCAAACAAAGTCTGTAGTATCATCAAGGTTAACAAAGAGCTTTTATTTTGAAAGCATGTGGCAAGAGAAAAGGTTCTTCTGTAAATGTAGTTTTATTTTTAGGCTTTACTAAGGTTGTTGTTGAAAATATATATGTATGGAAAAGAGACAAAGCACAATTGTTCATATTTTGTCAGATTTGCCATTTTTAAAGGCTATAGTTTGTTTTGTATCAAATCACATCACATTATATTTAAAATGTTATTTTGTTGAGCTCAGGTTTGTATGTATGTGTGTGTTATTGTATCTAGCTATTCATCCATCTGGTGCATAGTCTTGGCCATGAGAAAGCAGGCTCAGTAGATGGATAGATAGATGACAAGGTAACTCACGTGCAGCAGGAGAACAGCAGCGAGGAAGGACTGACCCTGGCAATAACCAATCTCCTCATCATAGACAGAGTAGGCCTGCGAGGGAAAAAGAAAGAAAGAAAGTTCAGTTATTCCATCAGAGGTCAGTGACATTAATCAAGGTTGTTTACAATGTATAAATCACTATTAAAAAAATGTCTCCATATTTTCAATTCACTTTCACAGTTCAAAACCATTACTTCTTTTTTCGTTACTAAAAATCTACATTTTGGAGGCACATTAATTTCATTTGACAGTCGTGATAAATTAAAGGTCCAGTGTGTAGGATTTAGTGGCATCTAGCAGTGAAAATCAAATCGCAACTCTATTCACTTCACCTCACCCTGCCCTTCCAAGCCCAAAGCAGAAACTACGGTGGTGAAAAACGCGAACGACCCTATCCAGAATCAGTGTTTGGTTTATCCCTCCTGGACTACTGTAGAAACATGTAGGTTCAACATGGTGGACTAATGTGCATCAGTTACCACGGAGACCAGCTGCCAAAATCAAACCAAGCTTAGCATTGGGTAGGAAGTCTGAATCCACTGCCCCTGTAAACCCTGACTGACTTTATGCAGCAAGGCTGTATGAAGCAACTACTCAAGTCACACCACAACACAAAACTTCTCACCACTGCAGTAATAAGAGAAGAGGGGCCCTCTCCAACGTATAAAACCTTGCTGGTTCAGTCACTATGGAAGACCGACCAAGAAGAGTAACCTTCAGATGACCGTTCAGGGGAGACGCTGTCTCAAAACAGTCGGTAGTTGACACACCCCACTAATCATGCTAATGAGCAAACAGACAGGCTTTTTCACTGTGTAAACAAGCATCCAGGGAGAGACAGAAGTGTCTAAAAGCATTCGACCTACAGTGGGTTTTTTTTTTATGGGGGTAGAAGAAGGCGAAGACCACATACACATAGCCTCAACTCTTATCTGCCTTCATCCTTGAAAGACACACAGGCTGCTGGAAGAAACATACAGTAACACTGAATAGCAAATTGATGTAAATCCAAAGCTTGCCTAAATAGGAAGCTTTAGTCGAGCACCAAACAGGGCAGCCCCAAGTCCATTCTAATATAACCTACCTCACCTGACCTCTACATATAAGCTGGTGAGAAAAATCAGCAGCCTGCAGCTCAAAATGTTTGCGAGGTCAGCAGCACCAGAACTGAGCATGAACCCAGAGAAAGGAGAACAGATATCCTGTAATCATATTACCCCTGTATAAATGTTGGGGCAGTTGTTCACCTGGTGGAGTGTCAAATTTAATGTAACAGACTATTTTACATGAACATCCTCAGATATTATGTGTTTAATTTAGCCCTTATTCAGGCCACTTGAAATGATTAAGCTGGTAGCGGTTCAATATCTTCCTCAGATATTTTGGCAGGATGCTCACACTTTGATGGACACATTAACTTCAGCAGCAGTCAAACCTCCGTACATTGGGTTAAAAGATTCTCTCCCCCTTTCCATGTTTGAAAAATGAGTGTGGACATCCAGAGCTCCACTGCTGATCTGTTCAGCTAATTTAGGGTTTGATGTGGAGGTAATGGAGAAGTCTTGTGGAGCTGTCTGGAGTCTAATCTACAAGCTGACATGCTTGATGGAGTGTGGCATTCACATGTCCCCAACTCGGCTGGGAGAAGTGCATGCTGACAGATGGATGGGGGAGGTCCTGGTGGGTGAAATCTAAATTTGTTAGCCTGAGCAGATAATAGGCTCAGAGGGGTGGATTATTACAATCTATATGCCTAGTTTCTCATAGCCAATAAGCAGAGGTTTTTTGTATTCTTCTACGTGGGTATAACTTTGGATATAACTTTTTGGACTGTACAAATGTATTAATAATCATTGTGTAAAAGCTATAACGTATTTGCGGGTTCTTTAATGGTTGGCAAATGTAAAGCACTGCACCTATAATCCTAAAACATTTATTATTACCACATGATAGATATAACTATTTGTGGTTCATTCCATCAGGACACCCTGACAAAAATATATAGATCATAGGTTGATCCTGAAACAGTCAGTGGGACTGTCAATGATCATCTGGGCTGTAAAAGTGTACTTCAGAAACTAGCTGAGCCGGATATTGTGCAGTGGTCAAGATCCATTTTTGCAGAAACAACAGCTTTAACCACTGGGCCACCAGGGAATCCCATTCATGAACTTTCTTTTTATGAAGTACTGAATAAGATAGTAGACATGTAAGAATAAGTTTTGACTAATTCAACTGACATTGTAGCTCAAGGTCTGTTTCCATGGTAATATACATTGTGTTACATTACTACCAGAGAAACATTTTCTCACTTTTATAGATCAAAAGATCATTCAGCTTCAGAATAGGAAAGGATTCAGCAAAATTTTCATTCTAACAAACCCTGCTGGCATTGTGTTAACAAGAATACTCAAATCTGATCAGGATGGTGGTCACCAGGATATGAGCTAGTATTCTAAATAATGTGTGCATGGAAACAGTCCGTGAACACGGTGATACGCAACATTAGCCTGGTTGATGAGGCGTTATCGTGTTTACTTTTTCCCCCCACTTTGTTTAAGTTCTGTTTCCATGGAAACACAAAAGGTATTCTCTTTATCCATTTATTTGAGAGTCACAGGTTTTGAATCCCCACACCAGCTGGGAGAATAATGCTCTCCCTGAAAACCCAACGTCAGTGTGCCCTTGAGTAAGGCAGTTAACTCCCAACTGCTCCAGCAGGCCTTCTGAGTGACCGCCAGTGGATGTCTGAGGTTGTACAGGTTAGCTGGAAGTGTGACTGAGTGGAACATTAAGAGAATAAGGCAGATTATCACTGAAAAAGAGCACGGCGCTCAGGTGACCTTCCCTGGAGAATAAAGGTTAGAAAATAAAAGACTCCAGGCTTATTACTGAGTAGAATATGAAGATGAATATAAACTTTGTCCTGGATCCTCTGTGCCTGTAACCCACTCATGCCTCAAGATCCAACCAACCTTATCAGCAGCAAATCTACATGGATTTGCATACAAATGAAGGCTGGCTCGCCACTGACCTAGTTGGGTCCAGACTGGATGCTAACCCTTCCTGACAGGTTCTCCCAGAGCGCTGACCGGCCATACTCTACTTCTGCAGCGCCAGGAAAAAATACAAAAGGAGCAAAAGTTCTCCTTCATCACTCTGAAACTACCTTTGATTTAAATGAATACACAAAACACTATTGTGATATCCATATCTGTGTTTAATGTATACCATCTATACATCTGATTTTGTGCTCATTGCGTTACCACTGAATGCAAACCTTTTGCATATGATTACTCTGAGAGTAAATAATCGATCTAATCGATCTAATAACTGAAATATTTCTCATTTATTTGGTTCACTTATTATTTCAGTTTCACTTGTTATTTTGGAATTTGAAGAATCTCTGTTGGTCTTTGGGCCCCATTTTATTTGAGTGCAGATTTCTAAATGTGAAAATTCTAATGTATATAGCACCCTCAAAAAAGCCCTCGATGGGATAGTGTCCATGGTATGTACACTACTTTCCATCAGTGAAAAAAAAAAAAATGACAATCATTTACGAGTGTCCGAAATCTCAATTATTGTCTAACAATAAACTAAACCTACTGAGTGTATATTATATAATAGGTAGTGAGCAAAAGAGGACATGATTTTGAGAACAGCAAAGGTGTGCAACCAACTAGAAGGGCAAAAATGTCTATACTGTATATATAGGTCAATTTGTAATTTCACTGAGTTGAGTATACTAAATCAATTTTAGATCTTTTCAATTTGTAGTTCATCTATTTTTTCCATAGTTATAATATACATATATACATTTGGAGAGTTAAACTATATTGTATCTTTATTCTTTACTACATTATCTAAATATTCCTTATGCTCAAGACATTGTTTATGTTGTTAGGGGTTGGGTTTCATAATCAAAACTTTCAACTTCCAACTTTCAACAAAGTCCTCCAACTTTCCAGACTGAAGTAAAGTACTGATAGTTGAATCAACAAAAGTATATGCCAAATCTCTGCTGTTACTGAATATACTTAATAGGTGTGAGAACTGTTTACCAGTAATGATCAATAATGATCAGTGAGATATTTTATTGTTCGAGAATATTACGCAACCTATTTTGAAGATGCAATTTTTGAGATCTCTGTAGCACATGTAGATCACTTTCAAGCTGTTAATATATCATATATGTATCATTTTTTTAAAATCTGGTCACTTAAAAAAATAAATGCAGATTTCAAATGGAGTTTTCCTGTTTGTGATTGAGCTGTTGGTTATACTGTAGGGCAATGCAAAGACGACTGTGTGCATAGGAAAGCATTTTGGTTGAGTTCATGGCTGCAGTCAAGCTAAGAGGAGGACAGTGACAGAGATTAAGACTGGCTTTAATACATTACAGTAGTGCTGACCTTGGCTTTTGTCTGAATAAAATGTACCGTGTGTCTTCACAGATAATTACCCCAGGATGCGAGTCCACAGGGACCCTCTCCTTACAGCACTTACTTTCCTCATTCATTTTAATGGCTAGAAGGCACTGCTGCAGGG